CTTCTTTTTTCAATTATTTGTTTTTTTTTCATTGCCAATAAATAAATAATGAATAGAAATAATAATTAAAAATTATTCTTAAGTTATAATTTTTTTAATTATATTATAGAGTGTAAAAGAATAGAGTTTTGTCATTAATAATTCATTTATTTCATTTTTATTTTATTTGTGGTTATTAATTTTTTCTAACTCCTTTTCATTATTCTTTATTTCTATTATATTGGTATATATATTGTGATATATTCTTTGTTTCTATTTGTTTTTTAATTTCTTTTCCATTTTCACTTCATTAGTACTTCAATTAAAACAAACAAAACATATGCTGAATCAATTATAACAATTACTGTTGTTGCTTTTTTTTGAAAGAATTATTAAGAGAAATGTGTATTATATTTAAATGAACATTATTTATATTATACAATTTATGTATTACTTATAATACAAACAATAATAACTATTCTCTTTTATTCATGACATTGTTTCATTTATTTGGTTGATATTTTCAATAGAATTTAGTTATTATTTTAATTTAGTTAGAATAATAATAATATTACATTACCATTTTTCAATTATTATTAAACAAAGAAAATAACTTTATGAAAGAATTGAAAAAATAAATGGATTAAATTGAATTACAATAAATCTACTTTTTCAAGATTTTCTTCTGACATATTATTATCATCTACCACTTTACTCTCATCACTAATTTCTATAACATCAGATTTTTTGTTTGTTAATTGAGAAGTTACTTCTTCTTTCTTTTCATTTTTAATAGAGGTACTTTCTTCATTTAATTCGTTATTATCTATTTTATTATTTTTTTCTGAGTCACTCGATGTTTGTTCATTGTTTTGTTTATTTTCATTTAAGCCTTGTGATAGTACTTTTTCTTCATTTTCTTTTTTTTCATCTTGTTGTTGTTCAATTTTATTTTCTTGGACCTTATCAACTTCTTTCAGTTCTTTTTCTATTTCCATATTAACATTATTTATAATCATACTTTCAGTATTTTTCCATGAACTTACTAGGAGATTCAAGCAGTCTTGAATGTTTTGACATTTTCTTACTACAACTTTACTTTCCTTTTCAAGTTCAGTATTTTCTTTCCATTGTTGTGCCTCTAATTGATAAATACTTTCTTTTTCATTAAACATTTTTCTTTCATTTTCTTGTTTCTTTTTTATAGTTTCAAGAGCTTCACTTAATTTATTATTTTGAACAATTAAGGTTTGAATTTTCTCTCTAAGTGTTTGATTTTCAGTTTTCAAAACATCAATATCTGATATACTTTGTTTAAGTTCATTTATAATTTGATTATTTTTATTTATATTTTCAACTTCATTTAGATCAGAATTTGTTTCTTCTTTAATTAATGTTTCTGGTATTAAAATGAGTGATTGAATCAGAATGTCTAATTGTTGAACTTTAGTTTGAAGGAAAGATAAATCATTAGAAAAATTTTCTTTGAATGTTAAATTTTGATTTGTTAATTCTAATACTTGTTTTTGAAGTTCTTTGCATTCAACTTCAATCATATCTCTTTCTTTTTGAATTGATGTTATACTTTCATTATATTGCTTTGAAAAATCTGAATAATTAAATTGAATAGAAGGTTGTTGAAGAGGTGGATTTTTAATTACATCTTCTAATTGTTTTTGTAATATATTTTTTTGATTTTTTAATGTTTCAATTTCTTCAGATAATGTAGCAACAAAAGTATAGATATCAGCTATTTCAAGTGATAAAGTCGTTGAATTAGTTTTATTTGGTTCTTCTTCCATCAGATAATGCTTTGAATTTACTCCATTTCAAGATACAATCTTCGTTTTTTTATATTCAAGAAATAAAAAACTCCGCAAACAAAAATATCACTTTTTAACAAAAATAGAAATAAAATCATGAGCGTGAAATCAATTAAAATATTCAGATATTAATCAATTCATCAACTTTGAGATCAATATCACATCAACAAGGAATGAACAAAATGAGGTACTTCTGTAGCAACTGTTTCTTCATCGTTTTGATCTTTAGCACTTCTTAATTCATTTAATATAGAAAGATTTTCTTCTGATGGATTTTCTTCTCCATCACTACATCCCATATCCCAAAATGGTGATGCTGACTTTGAAACAGGGAAATTCATTGGTGTAGTTGGATGACTTAAAAGAATATCTAAAATATCTTCATCAGCAATTTCATCTCCAACAATATTTTCTTCTTCTTGTTGTTCTTCTTCTTTCTTTTGTCCAAGAATATAACTCATATTATCATCTACACTACTATTAGTTGGACTATTTTCCTTATCTTCATTATCATTAAAACCCATATTCATTGAAATCATAGGAGAACAAATTGGTGAAATAACAGGAAACATATCAGTAGGAAATCCTAATTTTTTCATTGATGCTTTTTGTCTACGAATCCGTTTACTTTCTGTTGCTTCAGAATATTCTACAACAAGAACATTTCCATCCCAATCAGTTCCATTTTCATTATTTAATGCATTTGCAGCAGCTTCTGTTGTAGAGAAACAAATAAATGCATATTGAACTGTTCCATTAACAGTAGGAATTGTAATACTTTCAATTTGTCCATATTTACTAAATTTATTTCTTAATTTTTCTTCAGTACAAATTTCTTTTGTTATTCCCGTTATATATAATGTAAATTTATCTAAATCAATTTCTTTAATTTGAGTAGATTTTGCCCATTCAACAACCCATCCTTTTTTAGAAGGATCAATATGTTTTTGACTTGCATCTAAACATTTTTTAGCTGAAACATGATTAACAAATTTAACAAATCCACATCCTTTACTTTTCATTGTTTTTGAATCAGTAATAATTGTAACATCTTTAACATCTCCAAACTTTTCGCAATATTGTCTTAATTCTTGTTGTTTAATTGCTCCAAGACGAGCAAAAAATAATGTTGAAGTACAATTCACTTTAGTTTCTGGTTTTTGCATTCTGAATTTATTACTTAAAATTAAATTTACTTAAAAGAAGTAAAGTGAATATATTATTCTTTGTTCCTCTTTTCTTTTTTTGAAAAAATTTTTTATTCGTTTATTATATTTCTAACTATTTCTTTACTATTTTTTATCTGTTTGCCACTTTTTTTCACTTTACCTTTTTCCTTTAAGTTTTCTTTTTTTATAAATTAACTTTGCCCTTGCCCGAGTTTTTACTCAAATAACTACTACTTTCTTTGACTGAAATGAATTTCTATTTATTTTACTTTCTTTTTTTGCTCTCAAAGTCCCTTTATTATTCATTATTATTAAATTTATTATTATCTTAGTTTCTTTTTGTATGAATCTAGTGAAATCTTTTTGAAAATAATAAAATTATCTGACTTCCTTGGAATTCATGTGTATTTTTGTTTTACACTTTCTTCTTAACGGAAGCTTCTTATTATTTCTTTCTTTTTGAGTTTTGAAGAAAAATTATTCTTTCAAACTATCTTTTTATCTACATCAAATTTTTGACTTTTCATCTGAGAAATTTTGACTTAAAAAAAAACCCTAATTAATAACACAAATCATAATAACAAAAAATATATATAACACAATTATAATAACACAAAATTTTCTTTTACATTTGTAAAAGTGATTAAGTTAATATACAAGGGTTTTATTAAGTTAAACAAATTAATTTTGATGGGAAATTAGAATGACTCAATCTTGTAATAGTCAATGAGTTCAAGTAAAAGACATTCAAGTCCTGTGTTAATTGCAGTATGTGGTGGGACTGCAAGTGGTAAAACTACATTTTGTGATGTCATTTCAAAAAACCCAAATTTCCAAAAAGTTGCTGTTATATCTCAGGATTGTTTCTACAGAGATTTAACTGAAGAAGAAAACAAACATGTTAGTGATTATAATTTTGATTCTCCAGATGCTTTTGATTGGCCCTTAATTTATAAAACCATGAAAAGAGTTAAACAAAGAAAGAAAGTTCAAATTCCTGTTTATGATTTTAAAACAAACAGTAGAACTGGTGAATTTACAGACGTAGAAATTGGGGATGTAGTAATGTTTGAAGGATTATATCCTTTTTACAATTACAAAGGAATGGAGATGGCATCACTTTTTGATCTTAAAATTTTTGTTGAAACGGATGATGACGTTCGTTTAGGTCGTCGTATTATTCGAGATATGAATTTTCGTGGAAGAACATTACAAAGTGTGTTAGACCAATATAAAAAATTTGTTAAACCAGCATATGACACGTGGGTTTCTCCTCAAAGCAAAAGAGCTGATATTATTATTCCATGGGGTGAGATAAGTAATAATGCTATGACTGCTGATAATGAGAAGATTAGTGAATATCCTGTTGTTAAGATGGTTACTCGTTATATTGATCAGTTTATTGAAAAATCCAATTTTGAGAAGGTTGTTAGAACTGGTTCAGCTGAAATTCTTGATGGTGCTGAAATTAAAGAATCAGCTTTGAGTGATGTTGAATAACCAGAATTTTTATTTTTTTCTGTGATTTTATTCGTTTGCATTTTCCAAAACGAAAGTTCTAATTAAGCTAAATGATGACTAATCTTCTCTCATAAATCTAATCTTAATCATTAAGATTGAATCTTCTTCAAAATGAGATTGTGTTGTAATGTTGTTTGCGAAAGGTTAATTATATTTAAGTCAAAGTTTTAACAAAAAAATTCATTCAATCATACAAATGCAAATTATCTTATTACTTACTCTTATTATATATTCTTTAGCTGATAATGTCTATTTCTATAAAGATGGGGCATTAGAACAAGGTTTTGGAATAGTCAATCCAAATCAAATGTTTGTTCCTTTTATTCTTTTAATTAAATATTTTATTTTACTCATTTTTAAGTGGTATTTCTTGTGTACAAAAAAATGGAAATGGTTGGATTGGTGTTAATATGTTGGATGGACAATATTTTGCTGTTACTTCAAATAATACTCTTTCTACCCAAGTTTCTGGAAAAAATGATTATTATAAAACTTTAAAATTTACTACTCGTTATGATCTTGATGATCTTGATGATATTCCATTAAATATAAAGATATTTAATGAAGACTTTAACACATTATTTAATTATGGTGATATTAATGCTATTAATGGATATACTGTTAAAGTTAAACATAATAATGATAGAGATATTTCTATTAAATTAGATAATTTTAATTTAAATAATAAAGTTGCTACTATCATTTTTACTAGAGGAGCAAGTAGAAATGATAAAACAACCCAATTATTATTCAAAGATATTCGTCTTGACACTGGTGATGATCAAACTGATACTTATGAAAATGGAGCTTTTTCACTCCTTTCTACGTTTTTTGTAGCAATTCTTCTTCTTAGTTTATTCTAAGAAAAATAGAAACAAGTAAATTTTACTTTTGAACAATACTAATTTATTTTTTATTTTTTGAGGAATAAAAAATTGAAAAGAAAAAATAGTTGAACTATGAATGTGTTGAGAGCTTTCTTATGAGTAAACAATCGACTATTGATCGTTTCTTCAAAGTTAGCTCATTGTTTAACCAAAATTCTATTCAAGAAAAGAGAATTGAAAGCAAACCAATAAAGGAACAATCAAATAAAACTAAAAGGGTTAAAAAAATGAAAGGATTGGATCTGTTCTTTACAGTCAAACCTAGAAATGGTGAATCAGCATTATTAAGAAATGAACGACTACGAAAACAATTAATTGAAGAAAAGAAAAAAATAAAAGAAGAAGAGAAAGCTCGAAAAAAAGCAATAAAAGAAAAACAGAAATTATTACAAAAGAAAATAGAAGAAGAAGAAAATGAAGCTGCAAGACAAGAACTTGAACGACAAGAAAAAGAATTTAAAATAAGAAAAGATGGAAAAGGAGTGGAGGTATGTCCTGGAGTATTTATTGGAACTCAACTCACAGCAATGAACTTGAATTGGTTACAAGAAATGGAAGTAGAAGGTATTGTAAATTGTACAAAGAATATAACATGTTATTATAATTCTCAATTAAATGAGAATTTTAAACCAGAAGATTATCAAGGAATAACAAATAAAGAATATTTAAGAATACCTATTGACGACGATGGAATAATTCCAATTGATTCTTATTTTGACCAAACATATTCGTTTGTTGAAAAAATAAGAAATAAAGGAAAAAGTGTATTATTTCATTGTAAATATGGTAAAAGTAGATCAGCAAGTTTATTAACATTTTACTTATTAAAGAAGTATCAAATTACAGTTAACGCAGCTAAAGAATTATTTAAAAAAGCATGTTGGACAATAGAAATTAACAATCATTTTTATGTTACATTAAAAGAATATGAATCACTTCTTTTAAATAATGGACAACAAAAAAGAAGAACAAGAAAGGTTGATGACATTACTCCTGAATTATCAGAAAAAATAGAAAACATTGTAAGTGAAGTAATGTCAAGTCAAAAAATAAGAACTGCTTCTCAAAAATTACAAATTGTTAATAACAAAGTTATTGAACCTTAACCACACATTTTTTTAAATATTCAATTTAATAAATGTTTGTTATATTTCTTTTTTAATTGAAATTTTTTAATACGTTTTTGAATTTAGTTTTATAATATAAATTATAATTATTTAATCTTCTTGAATATTTTCTTTTTTAACAAATAATACAAAAAAAAAGAAAATATTATTATTCAATTTAATAACTTCATTAATAAAAAAAATTAATATAAGATGTTTATAATAACAATATTCTTAATAAAATTATTAAAAAAATAATTGTTATTCTTAAAATCATTTTTATTAATTAGCATTGGAGATACTATGTTATTTTTGGTTTTTTAATGTTAAACCAAATAGTATAGTTTTTGATTCTTTTTTTTTTTAATGCTAAAAAGCTAAATTTATCACTACGATTTAGTTTTTATTCTTCATTTTATTATATTCCTTAAATTAGTCTTATTTTCTTTTTTATTGTTTTCTTTTTTTTTTTTGGTTTATTTATTTTGCCATTAACATCAAAACATTTACTCTCTATTCTTATACTAACTGTTTGGAGACTTAAATATCTTGAAATTCATTCTTATTGCAATATTTCTATAACAAAACAAAATCTCTTTTATTCAGTTACTTTACTTCTCTTATTATTTTAAATATTATAATAAAACTATAATAAACTATACTTCATTCCAACAATCATCATCCTAATAGAACTAACGGGGAAAAATGAAAAAAAGTTTTAAAAAGGAAAAAAACGATATTTTGAAGTTCATCTGAAAAGTAATATTTTTGTATCATGGAAAGTACCATCAATCCACCTGATTTACCACCTCCCCGTTCATCTACTTTATCTTCACGACCAATTAATCCTGCACCTCTTCCACCTAAACCATATCATTTACCACCTAAACCAGATTCCCCTCGTTCAAAAATTTCTTCTACTCATATTTCTCAACAACAATCAGTTGATAATCCTCGTCCTACAACTGCCCCTCCTGTTCCTCAAAAACCTAAAGCCAAACCACCTCCCCCAAAAACTAATGTACTTTCTTCTTCAAAAAGTTCAGATTGTTCACAACCATCTTCTACTACAATTTCATCTTCATCAAATGTACCACCACCTCCTCCTCCAAAACCATCAAATACTAATCACTCTCGTTCTTCTGGTTGGTCAAATACTAGACCTTCTGAAAATTTCTCTAAACAACTTTTTGAAACAACAAGAACATCACAATCAAAACATGGATCACATAATCCTAATATTCATCAACAAAATGTTGATTTATCACCACCAATTACGAGTAAAACTAAACAAGATAAGAATAATGATACTACACAACATTCAGATTCATTAGGGTCAATCAAAGAAACAACTCATTGTAAAGATGAAACTCCTTCAAAAGAAAAGAAAAAGAAGTTTTCAATATTTAAAAAGAAAGATAAAAACAAAGAAGGTGATTTTGTTATTAGTGAACCAACTGAATTTAATAAAGTTATTAATATAACAATTGAAAATCAAACGAATCCTTTGATTAGGTTTGATGGTAAAGCTGAAAAAGCAATAATTCCATTATCACCACCAATTACAATGTTAAATAAAAGAGATATTACATCATCTGAAGAATATTTTAAATTGATTGATGAAATGAATACAATGCAATTATTATTTGATGAATGGAGTAGTCCAGTTGTACCAATAGAAAAATGGGAAATGAAATATCCAAATAGATGGGAACAACAAAGTCTTATTTTTGCTAAAACAATTGAAGATGGATATTGTATTGAAATAGGAAAAGGAGCATGTACACAAAATACAGATCTTAAAGAATATCATATAGTTGATATTACATCTGATTTCCAATTCTTTGAACGATATATTAGTGGAAATCCTTCTGCTGAACATTATATATTAACTGAAGAACCTACAGCAATGAGTATTATACCAGGAAATAATGGAGGATTTAGAAGAGCAATTGTAATGAGTAAGAAAGGTAATATACGATGTTTATTACCAAATGAATTAATTAGAATAAAAGAATTTCAACCAGCATTTCCAGATTTAACACGAGGAGAATTTTATAAAGTTACTGATAAAATGAAATTTGAAAATGAAATTGTTAGATTTGAACGAATGTCAGCAATTACACATTATAAATTCGGAGTATTATATTGTAAAGCACATCAAACAGATGAAGATGAAATGTTTGGAAATACTGATGGTTGTCCTGCTTTTTATAAATTCTTAGATTTACTTGGAACAAAAATTGAATTACAAGGATTTGATAAATATCGAGGAGGATTAGATGTTAAAAGTGGTTCAACAGGAATTTATAGTTATTTTACACAACATTTATGTTATGAAATTATGTTTCATGTCTCTACTTTATTACCAGAACAACCTGGAGATCTTCAAAGAGTAGAAAAGAAAAGACATATTGGAAATGATGTTGTTGTTATTATATTCAAAGAACAAAGTAATGATTGGAAAGATCAATTTGATCCTAAATGGTTAACTTCACAATTTAATCATATATTTATTATTGTACAACCAGATGTTAATACAGAAGATAATAATGGTTATTCTATTACTGTTGGATGTAAAGACTCCGTTAATCCATTCCCTCCTTTTATGAAAACAAATCATTTTATGCATGACCCATCTACTAGAGAATTCATTTTAACAAAAGCTGTCAATGGTGAAAGAACTGCAATGTTTTCTACAGCATTTAAAGGAAATGCAACCAAAACAAGAAGAGAGCATTTGCGAATGCTTTTTTCTCAATTAAAATAAATTCATTCGTATGTATTTCATTTATACTATATTTTACTAAAAAAGAATTATAATAATATAATAATATTATTTTTTGAGTCTTAACAAAAAAAAAAGAATAAAAATTCATAAAAAAAGAAGTTAATCCTCAAAAAATATTAAATGTCATAACAATTTTTAAAAAAAAATTAAAAAAAAAAATTTGAAGTAATTTAAAACTCAAAAATAAAAAGTTTAATTTGAATAAAAATGATTGTTACTATGAATGAAGAAACAAAACAAATTATATCAAAATTACCTATCTCTTCATATCGTAAGAAAATGTTAAGTCAAACCGAATGTCTTGAAAAGACACAATCTTTAAAAATAATATTATCTGAGATTCAAGATAATTCACAATTATTTGATGTTAGTGAACCCATTGTTTTATCATTAATGTATGATTTTGGATTTAATAAAATAAAACTCCAAGAAAAATTTTTTGATGATGATAATTTTTTAAAGAAAAATGGATATATACAAAAAACAAAAGAATTGTTTGCTCCTAAAGAACAATGTTTTCCAAATGATTATTTATCTCTTAAATTTGTTCATTATTGTGGTTATTCATTTGAAGAAGAAAGTATTTTAAATTTAATGGGAAGAAACTTTAATAGAGTTATTTCTATTGGAGCTTTACAATTACATAATGGAATTATTAGTAATGCACTTGAATATCTTAATAAAAATTTAATTGGAGTTGTGGAACATTTAAGAAATGACTTATCAATATTTAGAGGTAAAATTCTTCCACCAAAAACTACTCTTATGAAAGCACCAATATTAAGTATTTCTCCAAATTTCTATTATGATTTAGCTTTAAGAGTTTTAAGTGAAAATGATATAATTGAAGCAATAAACAATCCAATACAATTACCTAATGATTTAAAAATATGGTTTAATGAATTAGAAAAAACATGGAAAAAACTTCAAATAGAAAGAGAAAAGAAAATTGAAGAAGAAGAAAAAATAGAGACATGTGAAGTTTGTTATGAAGATAAATTACCAGAAGAAATGATTATTAATAGATGTGGACATTCATTTTGTAAAGAATGTATTATTGAATATATATTAACTGGTATGAAAGAAAATGGTAAAGGAATAGGAAATTTAAAATGTTTAAGTTCTGGATGTAAGTGTTGTATTACAATAGATATTGTAAGAGTATTAGTTGATGATTATACTTTCTATAAATATTGTGAATTACTTATTAGCAGTTTTATAGAAAGAGATAAAGAGATAATTTGTAAATATTGTTCAAATGAAAAATGTGGAAAATTATTACATTACAAAGGAGAATATTTTGGTGGAGCTGTAACTGCTATTTGTTCATGTCAAAATAATATGTGTCTTCTTTGTGGATCTATTAACCACAGACCAGCTTCATGTACAATGTGGAAAAAATGGCAAGAATTAATACAAAAAGATGGATTAAATCTAAAATGGATTCGAAAAAACTCTAGACCATGTCCAGCATGTAAAACATTTATTGAAAAGAATGGTGGATGTCAATGGATGTCATGTTATAAATGTCATTGTTTTTTTTGTTGGGTTTGTATGCAAATTACTAATGACCATCAACATAAACCAGGACAAACGTGTACAGCATATGTCCCGACTGAAGATAAAAATGAATATATTAATGAAGAGACATTAAGTTATATCACTCATTATGATCTTCAAAATGTTGGAGTAAAAGAAGCAGTAAAAAGAAATAAAACTATCATTCATATTATTAATAATAGAAAAAATATTGCATCTACATTAGCACCATTATATGAAGCTTCATTAGTTGAAATTGACGCACATACAATACTAAGAAATCTTTTCATTTATAGTTATAATAAAAAAGAAAAAAAAGAATTAATTGAATTTCAACAAAAGAAATTTCAATTACAAGCTGAATTATTAACAAAAAGAATTCAATTTTTGTTAAAAGTAGAAGGTATTACTTTACAAATGATGAGTGATTTAGTTCAGTTTGTAAAACCAATTAAAGAATCATTTAATAAAATTGTTCTTTCAATAGAAGAAGAACTTGAAGAAGAATAAATTGAATAAAGCATTTTTATTTTCTATTAATTTATAAAAATTAAATTAATAATTTTTTTGTTTATAAAATGATAGATTTTATTGTTTTGAGAAATAAAGTAATCTGATGACATTCAAATGAACAATAACAATGGGTTATTCATTTTTTAAAAGAATTCTAAAAATATAACAATAAGAAAAAAGTAAAAATACAACCATAAAAAAAAACTATAATAAATAGAAAAAAAACTAAAAAAATTAACAAATAAAATAAAAAGAGACAATTAAAAATAGAATATAAAGAAATTCTTTTTTTATCAAAAGAACAAAAGAAGAACGAAGAAGAGAAAAAACTGAAAAAAAGTGAAGGGTTTAAAAAAAAAAAAATAAAACAAAAAGAACTTAATAAAAAGAATCAAAAGAGAAATGACTGAAAAAACTTATCAAGTTGTTGTTATTGGAGAAGGAAGTGTTGGTAAATCAGCACTTTGTTTATTGTTTGTTAAAGGAGAATTTAATATTGAATATAATCCAACAATCGAAGACTCTTATTCAATTGATGTTAAAGTTGGAGACCAAACAGTAAAAATGTCAATTATTGATACAGCTGGTCAAGAAGAATATATTTCATTAAGAGAACAATATTATATTAAAGGAGATGGATTTGTCTTAGTTTATAGTATTGATAATAAAAATAGTTTCCATGCTCTTAAGAACCATCGTGATAGTATTCTTGGTTTAAGAACTGGTCGTAAAACAATTATGGTTATGGCAGGAAATAAATGTGATTTAGAAGAACAAAGACAAATTCCAAATGAAGAAGCAAAGAAATTGGCTGAAGAATGGAAAATTCCATTCTTTGAAACTTCAGCTCAAAATAATATTAACGTAACTGAACTTTTTAATTCTATCGCTAGTGAACTCCTTAAAAGTTCACAAGAAGAAACTGCTGCTACACCTTCAACAACTGCTCCATCTCAAACACAACAAGAGTCACAAAGTAATAGTGAAGATAACAAAAAATCAAAGAAAGAAAAGAAGAAAGGAAAATGTATTCTTTTCTAAAATAAATCAGTGTTTTGATCAATTTGGTTGTTGTTATGGTTTTGTTCATTATTTTTTATTTTCATATTAAATTAATTTTTATTTAATTTCTTTTTCAAATTACTTCAATTTTAATTATTTCATAGTTTTTTTATAGTTTTTGTTTAGGTTCTTTTAATGCGATGAACTGATAATTGTTATTCATGGCTGTTCAACAGTCTTTGAAACTTATCGTCCAAAATATACCTACTTCTAATGGAAGGACAATTGCAGATAAGCTTTATGAAGAATTTTCAAATTCTATTGATTATTATAATTTTATTGCACCTGAGTTTGTTTAGAATTTATTAAAACAAAATACAAAATAATGAACTTATTATATTAGAAATTCAATTTTTTGTTCTGCAATATTTCATTTCATAGATCAAAACTCTTTTGATAAGTTTTGTAGAAAATATACCCAACACACTTATTATTTACCTAATGGTCAACAAAAAGAACTTGATATTAAACTCTGCATTAACTCTAAACTCCCTGCAGATGATATTTCTGATGAATTAAATGGTACTTTAGAAGACGATCCAATCTACCAACAATTTGCTGATTCTTTATCAAAACGTAATAGATAAACCATATTATTTTCTTCTTTACTTCTAATGATATTGTTTGGATACATTATTACTCTCAAACAATAGTTGCAATTTGATATAATATCAATTTATCGTTTATTTAATTAAATAACTAATTGATTTTGAAGTATGTTTTTGGGTCTTCTTAGTTCATGAAGAATTCAATTAGAATGATTCATCATCATAGTCAGAAATCCACCACATC